GTGTAAAACAAGAAAACCTGCACTGCCAGTTTGTATCCATTTGTGTTGGGGTTTTTTTTGTGTTCACTTTAAATAGCAAATAATACACTGACTGGTTTCAGCATACAGGATGCCATTGTTGAGGAGAAACACCCATGTACATATGGTAAGCAGACAATGCAATACATTAGGCAGACAATGTAATGCTAACAGAATGCTTGGTTGTATAGGGAGAGGTATTAGCAGTAGAAAGAGAGAAGTGCTAATGTCATTGTACAGAACACCTCACTTGGAGTATTGTACGCAGTACTGGAGACCATATCTCCAGAAGGATATTAATACTTTGGAGAGAGTTCAGAGAAGGGCTACTAAACTGTTTCATGGATTGCAGGGTAAAATTTACATGTAAAGTTTGGAGAAAAGATGAGACAGGGGGGATAAGATAAAAATATTTAAATACATAAAGGGAATCAACACAGTAAGGGAGGAGAGTATATGTAAAAGAAGAAAAACTACCACAACAAGAGTAATTAGAGGGGCACATATTTAAAAATAATATCAGAATGCATTGAATAGTAGACATGTGCAATTCGTTTCGGGCCGAATATGAATTCGGACAAATTTTGGGCAATTCGGACATTCGGGTACTTCCGAATGTCCGAATAGCTGAAGTGTCGAATTACCGAAGTTGCCGAAGTTCCGTAGCACAGTATTGCCTAAGTACTAATATACTTACCCAGTGGAAGAAGAAGAATGTTACACTGTATACAATTTTAAATAAAAAGTATACAAACATAGCCAGGATTCAACTGTAAGCATTTGCAACACTTACAACAATCAAGTGACATACATTCATATAAAATGGACATTCATATTACTTGGCCAGTCAGTGTAATGACAGGAATGAATAAGTAGATAACTCCCTAATTCCCACAGTATTAGGGAGCTATCTACTAAAAGGCTGAAAGACCTGAATTGGCCTTTCAGCCAAATTTACTAATACTAAGTAAAGATTACTTAGTATTAGTAAATTATGCCCCTACTCGCTATACCGCGAGTAGGGGCATGTCTATTAAACAGTGAACAGCCTGTGGCTGCTCACTGTAAAAAACAAACAAACAAAAAAACGTCCCCCTCCCCCTCCTAACCTGAAGGGGGGACCTATTGCTCCCCCCCCCCGGCCCACACCCCTGAACAGCGGGTGGGGGCCCTAAAGTAAAATAAGGGGGGGAACCTATTGTCCCCCCCAGCCCCCACCCATGAGCGGCGGGTGGGAGCCCTAAAGTAAAGTAATGGGGGGGACCTAATGTCCTCCCCCTGGCCCCCACCCCTGAGCGGTGGGTGGGGGCCCTAAATACCAATTAGGGGGGACCTAATGTCCTCCCCCTGGCCCCCACCCCTGAGCAGTGGTTGGGGGCCCTAAATTAGAATGAGGGGGTGGACCTAATGTCCTACCCCCTGGCCCCCACCCCTGAGTGGTGGATGGGGGCGCTAAAATACTAATTAGGGGGGACCTAATGTCCTCCACCCTGGCCCCCACCCTGAGCGGTGGGTGGGGGCCCTAAAATACAAATTAGGGAGGGGACCTAATGTCCTCCCCCCTGGCCCCCACCCCGAGCGGTGGGTGGGGGCCCTAAATTAGAATGAGGGGGAGGACCTAATGTCCTCCCCCCTGGCCCCCACCCACCGCTCAGGGGTGGGGGCCAGGGGGGAGGACGTTAGGTCCCCCCTAATTAGTATTTTAGGGCCCCCACCCACCTAATGTCCTCCCCCCTCATTCTAATTTAGGGCCCCCACCCACCGCTCAGGGGTGGGGGCCGGGGGGAGGACATTAGGCCCCCCCTAATTAGTATTTAGGGACCCCACCCACCATTTAGAGGTGGGGGCCGGGGGGAAGGACATTAGGTCCCCTCTCATTCTAATTTAGGTTCCCCACCCACCGCTCTGGGGTGGGGGCCAGGGGGGAGGACATTAGGTCCCCCCCCCTCATTCTAATTTAGGGTGGGTGGGGGGCCGGGGGGGACATTATACCGTGGGAATTAGGGAGTTATCTACCAAGCGGCTGCAAGAGATGTTCTGAAATTCCGAAGTCCCGAAGTGCCGAAGTTGCCGAAGTGCCGAATTGTCAAGGTCCCGAAGTTCCGAAATTACCGAAGTGCCAAAGTTGCCGAAGTGCCGAATTGCCTAAGTGCCGAATTGCCGAAGTCACGAATTTCGGAATGCCGAACCGAACCGAAAAATTTTCCCATGCACATGCCTATTGAATAGCCTTCCAGCAGAAGTCGTAGAGGTTAACACAGTGAGTGAGTTTAAGCATGCATGGGTTAGACACAGGGCCGCCATCAGGGCATGACAACCGCAACGGTTGTCATGGGCCCAGCGGTCCTGGGGGGCCCGGACTGCTCAGGTCGTCCGGGCCCCACATTCAGTGGGTACATACCGGGCCGCAGGGGGCCCTGCGACCCGGTATGTACCCACAGGGCCAGCCTCTTCTCCTGGGGGGCCCAGCAGCCGGTCACCTCAGGGCCGCCCAGAGGCTGGCCCTGCTGACACCCGGCGGCCTGTGCGCGAGGGAGCACTCTCTGTGTGCTTCCTCTTCAGCTCCCTCACGCACCGTACTGATGCCGGAGCCTGAAGATGACATAATCTTCCGGCTCCGGCATCACAATGCCGGGAAGCTGAAAAGCACACAGAAAACCTCTCACTCCCGCCGTCCCGCTGTCCAGGTAGGCAAAGGAGAATAATGAAATGGGAGGAGGGAATAATGAGAAATGGAGGAGAATGAATGAAATAGGAGGAATGAATGAAAATGGAGGGGTAATGTAAATAGGAGAGTAAATAGGAGAATGAAAATGGAGGGGAATGAATGAAATGGGAGGGAGAGAGGAAAGAATAGAAAATGGGAGAATAAATAAAAACTTGAGGGGAGGGAGGAAAGAAATTTGAGGAGGAAAGAGAGGAAGAGAAATTTGAGGGGGCAGAGGAGAGGAAATTGAGGGACGGGGGGAGAAGAAGGAAATTTGAGGGACGGGGGAGAGGAAAGAAATTGGAGGGGAGAAGAAAGGAAATTGGAGAGGGGGAGAAGGAAATGAGAGGGAGGGGGAGAAGAAGGAAATTGAAGGGGGGAAAAGAAGGAAATTGGAGGGGGAAGAAGTAAATTGGAGAGGGAGGGGGAGAAGAAGGAAATTGGAGGGAGAGGGGGGGAGAAGGAAATTGACGGGGGGGAGGGGGAGAGATTGACATCCATCACACACAATGCACCCCTTGCCACACAGAAAAACACACAATGCATTACACACAGACACACGTACACAAGCAATGCATCCCATACATACACAAACTCATCTTACACATACAAACACAGCCCTTACACATACAAACACAGATTCACACAATGCATTCCTTTCACACATCAGGGCATCCCCCACAGACACACTCCACTACCTGTGAACAAAATCATTGGTGGAACATGAAGGTGGACCCTGGGACCCAGACCTTGAGCTGTGTAAAGGGCCCTCAAAAAAATGGAGCTGCTTCCCGTTCTCCCAGAACATTGATTTTTGTGACCACAGTTACAAACTGCCTCCAGAGAGCCTGTTGTACACCAGACCAGTGGAGCCAAACGGCAGCTAGAGCCCATCATCATCCTCATCTGGTTGTAAGTAGGCAATCTAATATATTATTCGTGGCACTAATCTCTAATTTACCTCACATTAAAGGGACACTATAGTCCCCAGAACCACTGCAGCTTAATGTAGTGGTTCTGGTATCTAGCCTGTCCCTGCAGGCCTTTTAATGTAAACACGGCGGCACTGCAGCACTGGTGTTAGTTAACATGGCAGATCATATGGGTGGGGCATTGTGATGTCACATGGGGGGGCGGCAGACTTTACTTTTGCCTAGGGTGGCAAAAATCCTTGCACCGGCCCTGCAGACACTGCATCCCTGTGGGCGGATTCGGGGGGGGCAGCACTTTGGGCGGACTCAGGTGCAGGCACAGGGGGGCCCAGACCTTGAGCTGTGTCAGGGGCCCCAACATTTCTAATGGCAGCCCTGGTTAGACATAAGGCTATCCTAGATGTACGAGACTAATGCAAGTATTGAGAAAATTGTGCAGACTAAATGGGTCGAATGGCTCTTATCTGCCATCAAATGGGTCAGTCTGTGTGTGGGTGTGGGGGTGTTTAATCTGTGTGTGGGAGGGCCAGTTTGTGTGTATGGGTCAGTCTGTGTGTGTGGGGGTCAGTCTGTGTGTGTGTATGGGTGTGGGGGGGGTTCAGTCTCTGTGTGTGTTGTCCTGAGGCAAGTCCAAAACAGGGACTGAAATGTTGATGCTGTTTAGCATCATATTTGTTTTTTTAAAATGTAAACATTAAAAGCTATGTTTTATTAAGACCAAGAGTGCGGACCATTCCTTCGATTTTTGTATACATGTGACTACGGTCTGGCACCCGGCATTTACAACTATATTGGATCAGCCTGCACATAAAAAGTGGGAGGCACATATACAAACTGTTGTAATTCCTACACCGTTCACCTGATTTGGATGTAAATACCCTCACATTAAAGCTGAAAGTCTGCAGTTAATGCACATCTTGTTTGTTTCATTTCAAACCCATTGTGTTGGTGTATAGAGCCAAAAAGATTAGAATTGTGTCGATGTCCCAATATTTATGGACCTGACTGTATATATATATATATATATATATATATATATATATTCACAGTATCTCACAAAAGTGAGTACACCCCTCACATTTTTAGGTTTCCTATATGAACCCTATATGTTCCCCCTCTCTTAATAGTGTCTCATACAGGCCTCCCCTTTTACGTGGAGTAGAAGTGGACATACCAAGAGAAAGCAACAATACATGTATCAGCACTCTCCTATCCTAAGATCGCCCTCCAAAAATAAACCTTATCTACGTGCTATAATAATATATGACACCACACTCAAATTTTAGATGCAAAAGAAACTAAATGTTTATTACATAATTATAACAGATTATATAGAAGTAACCCTTTCACTCAATATAAACACTATCACATAAATTATATAAATGGCAAGTTTGCATATCAAAAGTTAGCCAAGTCACAACAAACTTGGTATCTGAACTTTTTAAACACACAGAACAGTGATTAAAGATCCCTTCACAGTATGCTTCCTTAATCACTCGGTTAACACCTCTTAATTTAGATTAGACTTGTCTGGGATATCTAATATATCAAAAGACCTATGAAAAAATGGCCAAAAAATAAAAAAGCAGTAAAAAATAAACAATTGTGAAAAAGAAAAAAAATATCCTGTGAAGTCGAGGAATGTCCCAAAGTTCATACTAGTAGGTCCTAGTGTGTACACATTTCTAGTACAACAAAAGGTAAAAAAGAAAAAAACAAGAAAAAAAAACCCAGAGCTCTTTATCCATATACTTTGATGAAGGGGTAATCCCCAATATGACTGCTCTCACGCGGTTGAAGATCCTTTGTTGTATGTATATAGATGGAGCTATGATGTTGGCAATGCTTGTGTAGAGCTGCAGTATCCGAGATGCTATGTTTACATTAGGGTTAATCCAGCCTCTAGTGGCTGTCTCATTGACAGCTGCTAGAGGCGCTTCCGCGCTTCTCACTATGAAAAACACAGTGAGAAGACGCTGGACATCTATAGGAAAGCATTGAGAAATGCTTTCCTATGGACTGATTGAATGCGTGCACCCAAAATTGCACAGCATATTCAATATGTGATCTTACCAGTGATTTATAAAGAGGTAAAATGATATTCACATCCCGAGAATGAATGCCCTTTTTCATGCATGACAATACCATTGCACATTGTTGCATAGTTTGTTGTCTATAACAATTCCCAAGTCCTTTTCGTGTGTTGTTATCCCTAATTCGCTTCCATTAAGGGTATACGTTACTTGTGTATTCTATACGCCGAAGTGCATAACTTTGCATTTTTCAACATTTAATTTCATCTGCCATTTGAGTGCCCAGTCCCCCAGTCTATCTAAATCCCTTTTATTTTATTTTTATTAATTATTTTACAGAGTTTTGTGTCATCTGCAAACACTGAAACATGACTTTTAATGCTTTTTTCAAGATCATTTATAAACATGTTAAATAGAAGGGGTTCCAGAACAGAACCCTAAGGGACACCACTTGCCACCTCTGTCCAGCTTGAAAATTTACCATTAATGACAACTCTTTGTATTCTATTTTTAAGCCAATGTTCTACCCAAGAACAAGCATTTTAATCTAGACCGATTTCCTTTCGTTTGAAGACTAATCTATTGTGTGGAACTGTATCAAATGCCTTGGCAAAATCCAAATAGATCACATCCTCTGCAACACCCTGATCTAAACTTCTACTTACTTCTTCGTAGAACGCAATCAAGTTAGTTTGACATGACCTGTGCTTCATAAAACCGTGCTGATTTTTGCTGATAACCATGTTCTTCTCAATTAATTCTTGAATATTATCCCTTAATAACTTTTAAAATATTTTTCTGGCTACAGAAGTTAAGCTCACAGGTCTATAATTTCCAGGCAATGATTTTGAACCCTTTTTGAATATAGGAACCACATCTGCCTTCCTCCAATCCTCCGGAACACTTCCTGAAAGAAAAGAATCTTGAAAGATTAAAAACAGAGGTTCACTTATTTCTACACTTAGTTCCTTAAGTACTCGTGGATGGATACCGTCAGGCCCTGGAGCTTTGTTTATATTAACTTTCTTTAGTTGCTGCAGCACCCTTGTCTTGAGTTAACCAATTACAATTATTCTGCAAGTTTTTAGTTGCAATCATTTGCATATCTAATGCCATGGGTTCTTCCTTAATATATACGGAGGAGAAATAGTTATTTAAAAATCCTTCCTTTTCCTGGTCTTCATTAACTAACACCCCCATTTCAATTTTTAGTGTACCTAAACTTTCATTTTTTGTTTTTTTAGAATTTATGTACTTAAAGAATATACTCCATATATTCTATTTTTAATTAATGCATATTATATTCCACTTATAGTGCATTACTATTTTTCTCATTTGCTCTCTTTGCTTTTTTTTACTATTTACTCCAACCTTCATAACCCTTATCCTATTGAATATAAATTCAAAATTAGGAATTTTAACCTATTCAAAACATAGCATAGTTCCTAGTGATGTCCCGAACTGTTCACCGAACGGTTGGCGAACGGTTCGCCACGGTTCGCCATGAACGGTTCGCCACGGACTCCAGTCAGCAGACACATTCCAGCCAATCAGCAGCAGACCCTCCCTTCCAGACCTTCCCACCTCCTGGACAGCATCCACTTTGAAGCTGCATTCATAGTGAGCTGTCCAGGAGGTGGGAGGGTCTGGGAGGGAGGGTCTGCTGCTGATTGGCTGGAATGTGTCTGCTGACTGGAGTCTGCAGCAAACCGTTCATGGCGAACCGTTCGCGAACCATTCGGCGAACAGTTCGGGACATCACTAATAGTTCCATTCTCTCCTACTTTCCTGAAATATCAGATTATTAAATGTATGAAGGGGGGAAAAAAAGAAGAAAAAAAAACCCATCCCTCCCTCTCTCTCCTCTCCCAACATTATTTAAGTTTACACTTTGATTTTATATTATTATACAATGTTGTTCTCTTTTAACCAGTCTCTTGCTTTTTCCTGTGTCTCAAAAGACTGCCAAGTGTTGTTATAAAGAACACATAGAGATGATGGTTGACCCCATTTAAATTTCAAATCGTGTTGTTTTAGAAGAGGGAATATAAATGAAAATGTTCTTCTCTTGGCTCTTGTGTAATATGAAATGTCTGAAAGGAAATTTTTCATTAGTGCATGGTGTCTTTTTGAATGCTTGTACAATCTGTAGCTTAAATTGGAATGGAATGCCATTACGTCGTGACACTTGCAAATTCTTAACTATCTGTTTTAGGACAGAAAATTCTATGGCATCTTTCCAGTTGCATGCTGTGCTTATCAGAAGACACATCCAAAAAAAAAATTCCATCAAAAATTCTCGTAAATCCTCAGGGATATATCGAAATCTTAAATTCGATCTCCTAGAACTATCTTCTAGGTTGCAGATCTTTTCCTCCAAATGTATTATTTTTGTCTCCAACTTAATTTGCATATCTTTCATATCTTTGCACTGAATATTTCTTGCCTCCTCCTGCTCCTCAATCTTTTGGATTCTAGACACCATACAAGATCGATTTGTTTTCAAATCTGAGAATTTCTCATTAATATCACATTTAGTTCCCTAAGAACTTCCTCCAAGCTAGATTTTAGCAAGTTGGGAGTTACTGTATTGCTTTCTATCTCTTGTTCTGTAGATTGTATTGAGATGTGCACAATATTTTTCTCTGTGTTATCCAATGTTTCTTGAGGGAAAAAAAAGCAGACAGCCTTTTTTTTGTTTATTCCTCCTTTTATCATTTTTGTTTGCCAACTTGTTGTCTTGTGTGCATTTGGAAGCCATTATAGGATTCGCCAATTACTAGAAGTAGTGGTGTGTAGGGGTACAGGCTGTGTTTCCAGTCACCAATAAGGGAGCAGAATAAAACTGTTTAGTCAGTATGCCAAATCTCCACTACAGGATGGGGCAGAATAACTTTTGATTTTCAATTCACAGACTAGTGCTAGTGAGTCTGGTTCACCTTAACTAATTGCTATAAGTAGTAGGGGTATGCAAAAGCTCAAGTTATATTCCCAGTTACCCATAAGGAAGCAGTAAAGTACTATTTAAGTGATATGCCAGATTTTCACTGCAGGGTGGTGCTGAATTTCTCTTATATATCGATTAGCAAAGTTGAGTCAGTGAATCTGATTCTCCTTAGCCATTTACTATGAGTAGTTTCGGTATGTATAATCTCAGATCGTATTCCCAATCACCATTAAGGGAGCAGAAGAGAACTGTTTAGGCAATATGCCAGATTTCCACTGCAAGACATTGCAGGGTAACTTTTTTATTGTTGTTAACAAACTTGTGCCAATGAATCTGATTCTCCTCAATTAGTAAAACAAGAGAAAAAGTAAAAAAAAGTTATTTCCTTGCCTTTATTTTTCTTTTAAAATAAATTTTTCCTTTATAATGTTTTCACCAGCTATCACTTCCTCACATGCCTCTTTACACAGTCTCAATACAATGCCACATACACAGGCTTTTAGCTATCTGTTACCTTGTTGTAGCAAAAGAATCAGCTTATATAGCATATATTTTCCTGGCTTCAATGACTCTATCTTCTGTCATTTTCACAACACCAAAGAAGCTCCAAACTTAGTTTCGCCATTACTGCAAATGGCGTCAGCCGCCGTCTTCTGCTGTCTATATCCGTCTTAGAAGTCAGTCTAATTTCCACAGCAACTTTCCCTCCTTTCTCTGCGTCTGGCTTCTGCTTCTGGCTTCCCCTCGCTTCTTGCTACCCGCAGCACTAATCGTCCTTGTATACTTCACAATCTCCGTCTTTCATTCCTCACATCTCACTTTCTCTCATCACGCCCCTCTCTTCTCATACTCATCGTGGTAGCGTTTCTCCTCCCCTCTCGGCGTGCTCATGTGCAAGCCTACGTGATCATGCCTCTAAACATCTACAACTGAAACGCATTTAATTCAATTCCATCATTTTGATTCCTGATACTCCACGCGCCCACAAACAAGCAACTCCTGGAACCCACATTCACCAGAAGCAAAGTGCACCCCCAAGCCCCTGCCCGACACCCTCACAGCCCTTTATCTTTAGTGTTCAGGAGGGTGACTTCCTTGGGTCCCTGCTGCTGGCTGCCATTGATGGGAATTGTGGATCTAGAGCAGCTCTCTAGTTGCTCCTATTTCCAAGCTGCTCCTATTCCCAAGCTCCTTTGCTGCATCCTCCCTCTCTCCTTCCATGTTCTCTCAGCAAGAAGCTGGGAGGAAGTAATATGCTATTAATCACTTCCTCCCAGCTGGCAAATACTGCAGGGACCTGGTCAGGCTCTTAACCCCTTAAGGACACATGACATGCCAAAGTTTGGAGCTTCTTTTATTCCAGAAGTTTGGTCTTTAAGGGGTTAAAAGGCCACTGCACCTGACCGGGTCCTGTTAAAGAATAATGAAATAATATCCATCGGGTGGCCCCTGCAATTAGGTAGTTCCGCCACTGTCCTTATACTTAATGCTTGCAACCTGCACTTTGATATCTATAGCAGTACTCTTAGCGCTTATCCTACTATGTATACTAAGTAATGTAAACACTACCTCTTCTCTGAA